AAAGTGAAGTAAATGAAAAAAATAAGCAATTATTAACACTTGGGGAAACAAAAAATTGAGAAAGATCAAATTTAATCATATGGCAAACAATTTATAATACATAGCCACACTAATATAATATTTAATATTGATATAACCACAATGAGAGACAGCAATAAACCAGGAGGATAGAATGAAGAAACTTGGAGGTCTGTGTGGGAGAGGTGACATTAAAAAAGTGAAATTCATATCACTACAGACTTATGAGTAAATAGTATCTGTTTTGCTTTTTTTTTTTTTTTTTTTGAGATAGGTCTTACTATATAGTTCAAGCTGACTTTGACTCATTATGTAGCTCATGCTGGCCTTGAACTTGCAGAGATCCTCCTGCCTCAGCCTCCTGAGTGCTGGGAGTATAGGCATACACCACTATGCCTAGCTATATAGTTAACAGTATCTAAAAGTAGGGGAAAAAGCGTATCTGTATAGGATTCTCCTGCCCCTGCCAATGATAACCAAGCCATTATAACAGCCCAGACACCCTCAGAAAAATGGCCCCCAGGAGAGACAAACTTGAACACTCTGACACCATCAAGCTCCCCCTGACCCCAGGGTCAGCCATGAAGAAGACAGAGGACAACACACTCGGGCTCACTGTGGATGTCAGGGCCAACAAGCAGCCGCTCAAACAGGCTGTGCAAAAGGACTGTGATGGCCAATGGCAGACCTGATCAGGCCTGATGGAGGGAAGGGAAGTTCAGCTGGCTCCTGATCATGGTACTTGCGTGCTTCCAACATAAAACTAGGATCATCTAAACTCAATCCATCTGGCTCATTCTAAACTCATATATATATATATATATATATATATATATATATATATATATATTTCACTATGAAAAAAAAAGACAGGATAGTAAGTCTGACATGTCTCTGACAAATGAAGAGGATGGAGGGACTAGAGAGGGACAGACCACTGAAGTTATTGAAAACCAGACCAGAACAGTATAGTTCTCTGGAAGCCGAAAAGCAAATCGAGGCAGAGGAGTGAAGTTAGATGCTCCTCATAAAATGACAGGCTTTCATCACCCAGAGTCACCTCTGATTGTGATAAGAACATTTTTGATAAAACTGGGGACAGTGCTGGGTACAAGCACTAGACTGGAGTGAGTGGAAGAATGGAAGAAGAGCCAGCCCTGGTGGCACACGCTTATAACCCAGCACTAGGGAGGTTGAGCCAGGAGCATCACTGTGAGTTTGAGGTCATCCTGGGCTAATAGTGAGTTCAAGGCCAGCCTGAGCCACATAGCAAGACCCTGTTTCAAAAAGAAAAATGGAAGACAAAATGGGGACTGTGTCTATAGACAACTAGTTCAAATATTTTGTTACACAGGCAAACAGGACAATAGCTGGGCAGGTGGCATCACAAGCTCTGATTTTAGGTTGTACTACAAAGCTAGCATAATAAAAGCTGAATGGTACTGGGAAAAAAACACCACAAAGAAGACCCAAAGATCAATGGGACAGAATAGAAGATGCAGAACCAACTCCAAACCCAATTAGCTGCTTCATCTTTGACAAAGAGGCCAAATACCTTCACTGAAGAAAGACAGTTTCTTTAATAAATGGAGCTGGAAAAGCTGACTTTCCGCATGACAAATATTGAACCTAGACCCCTATCTCTCACCAGGTACTATACTAAAATTGAAAATGGGTCAAAGATCTAAATATAAAAACAGAAACACTTAATCTGCTGGAAGATAGAATAGGTGAAACTTTGGAAGACGAAGGAATAGACAAAGACTATGAACAAAATTCCGTTCTCACAGGAAATATTACAAAGAATCAACAACTGAGATCACATCAAATGAAAAAGCTTTTGCACAACAAAAGCAACCACCAATAGGATGAACAGACAACTCAGAGAATGGGACAAAATTCCTACCAGTTACTCTTCCCATAAATAACTAATATTTAAAATATGTAAAGAACGCAAAAGAGAATAAAAATCACATCTCTCTAACTTAAAGACGTAGTGAAAACTGGGCATCTGAAATGAATACACACTTCTCAGAAGAGGTATGAGTAGCAAATAAATATGAAAAAAATGCTTAAAATCACTGGTCATACGATAGATGCAAATTAAACCAACAATGAGATTCCATCTCACTCCAGAAAGAATAGCTATCATTAAGAAATCAACCAATGACAAATGCTAGAGGGGCTGCGAGGAAAAAGGAACCCTTCTCTTTTGTTGGTAGGAGTGTAGACTGATACTACCACTGTGGAAATCAATATGGGGATTGCTAAAAATCTAGAGGTTCCGTTTGACTCAGCTGTTTCCTTTCTAGGTCTGAGAGAATTAGAAGCTTCGTACTACAGTGAAATATGTATGTCCACATTTATAGCAGCACATAGGCCCATCAAAAGATGAGCATATAAAGAAAATGTGGTATTTACAATGGAATACTCTTCTGCCATAAAGAAGGATAAACTTGAGTTATCTGTAGAAAAATGGATGTGTTCTGAGACCATAATCTTAGGGGAAGCAAATTGGACTCACAAATTTAAATACTGTATCGTTCTTTGTGTGTGAGGAACCCAAATGGTGAATATAAAGCATAGCGAAGGACAGATATTGGGAAGTAGGAAGAACATGTTCCAACAGGAAGGGGAATAAGGGAGCAGGACGAGGGAAAGAACGGAAGGGAAATGAGAAGAAAATAGAATGGAGGGGGAGAAATGGAAACAGCTTTTGTAAATGCAAGGGGAAGAAGGATTGAAGGGAGGGGTGGGAAATGGGAAAAGAGAATTAAGATATATTATGTACTGGTACAAATTCCCTATGATGAATGCGATTAATATGTATGACAAATAATAAATATAAAAAAGAGCTAGGGTTCGATCTGTGGCGTGCCTGGCCAACCCGGTCCCCGGGGCGCGCTGAGACGGTGGTTAAGACCGGTTGTGGGGGGGCGCACACCTGTAATCCCAGCACTTGGGAGACTGAACACAGGCGGATCACTTCGAGTCCGCTACGTAGTGAGAACCTGTAGACCCTGTAGATCCTTACTAAAAAATTAAAAAAAAGAAAAGAAAAGAAAAAGTTATATATATATATGTGCTTGCACTCAGTGATCCTCCTCTTCTCAGCCTCCCCAGTGCTGAGATTACAGGTGTGAGCCACCGTGCCTGCACTCGGTGGTCTGATCAGCGCACCCAGGAGGTGGGGTCTGCGCAGCATGTGGCGTGGGGACAGGACCCTGGTCCCTGCACTTGCCTAAGCAGGTGCTTAGCCCACTGAGATATCTCACTGGCCCACTAACGGCAAATTTGAGACGTAGCCTAATACAGTAAATTTTTTTTTAAAAAAAGCAAAGGTCTCTTAAGAGTTCCAATATCCTATAGTTCTATGAAATGAAGTTTAGAAAAGTAAACATCTCTGCCCAAGGAGAAAGAGAGGCGTTTCTTGAAGAGACGCTGTCGTAGGTGGAGAAGAATGGAGCCACTTGGCACAGTCATCACGAAAAGACCTTTGGGGCTAAGGAGGGGCAGGCCTGGGAGTAGGTCACGGGTGAAATCCATCAACCCACCACATCACCGCAGCTCAGCAGTGTCCCTTTTTTTTGTATCCAGCCCTGATCTTTATTACTGGAAGGTGGAGAAAGCCAGTAAGTTTTGCCAGGGAGCTCACAGTCTAATAGAGAATACTACCATGTGGGCAGAAAACAGGCAGGCCCGACTAGGTAACTAACTGCAATGCGCAGACCCTGCAAGTTGGAGACAGTCAAATGAGTCAGAGGTACCAGGGTTGGGTGAGGATGCTCCTTGCAGGGCTGGGCACCAATGAAGACCGATTAGGTATGCTAAAGTCACCTAAAGCAATTTGCTAAAATCTATTTTTGCACAAGGCAAAAACAAAAAACCACAGGCACTTCTAATATCTGCCCAAAGTAAAAGATCCAATCAAAAAAAACAGGCAATTGAAATGAATAGCTACTTCTCAGAAGAAATACAAATGACCAGTAAACACATGAAAAAATGTTCCACACCCTTGGCTGTGAGAGAAACGCAAATTAGAACAACACTAAGATTTCATCTTACTCCAGAAAGAATGGCCATCGTCAAGAAATCAAAATAAATGCTGGCAAGACTGCGGAGGGAAAGGAAACCGTCTGCACTGCTGGTGATAATGTACACTAGCACAGCCACCGTGGAAATCAGCATGGTGGTTCCTTAAAG